TAATTACAACTTTTACCTCGGTTAAATTTCTTTTGTCTTTTGCGGCATTTACCAAAGTATCAGTTGGCGTTTACACACGGAAAATGTTTACTTAGGTAAGTAAACTCTGATACCTCGGTAAACCGTTCAAGTCTAAACACAGCATAAATCAGGACACATTACCATATACGAAAATATATTTATTTCGTGCTTACGAATATATGTCATATTTGTTTCCTACTTTCTTAAAGTTGGGTGAGAAATACTTATAAAAGTAAAAGTACTTTAACTACAACTGAACTCTGTTACACATGTAATTATATGTACAACGCATGGAAGGTGAACCTGAACAATATAAGTTCGTCAGTTAGAACTTAGCATACTTATACAGATCAGAGTTTATCTTCTTCTGACTCTCACAGTGCTCTTCTGAACACAACTTTACTTAACTCTTGTAACAACCGAAAAAACATAGATATCCTTGATTGTGTGTACTCTGTTAACAGCATACATTCCTCAAAATATATCGGTAGATGGCTTTTGGTGTTTTAACAGTGTCGGTGCACTATTGCCAAATTTCACGAAACTTTAGATTATCTTTTGTTTTGTCCACAAAATTATCACGTTTATGATTATATTTTGGTCATATAACTTGACTTTGCTAATCTCGAGAATACTTATGTACGCGAACTTTTTCGCTTAGTCGTAGTGGCGACATTATAAAGTTACCAACTATGAGTCGTTTCATGCAAACGCAATACAATATGATCTCAAGTAGACTTTACTAAAACTAACAGCAATTTTTATTTAGTTTGAAAAGTGGCCTGAGTGAGCTGAGAAATTATTTTTTGGACGCCATATTTCCCTTAACTCTCAAGAAAGATAACGCAGGAAAGAAGCGAAANGTACGTTATGTATGGTCTGACCAGTTACATTTAAAGGTTTCAAACCGTGTTACATGTTGTCAAACACTCTGTGTTTCCCAATGAAGCGACGTCAAAAGCTAAACTTCTTCATACCCACGTCAGGTATCTCTACTCTCCCTTCAGGAACGAACTGCAAGCTAAGAATCTTCTTCCTCGAGTAGGTGCATTCGAAAGGAAGGTCAAAATCGTGATCTCGAGTGATCACGGCCGCGGAGCCATAATCTCCAGATCCAGCGCCAGATCCTTGGAGTGGTACTGCGTCTTGTACAACGACATTCGAGAAAACAAGACTGTCTCCCGTTTCGAGGAACAGTGTCCCGCAGCCATGCAAAGAAGTGCTGACATACAAATGCGTGGAGGTTTGTGTGGCTTGACAACCAGCTGATGAGGAGTAATAAAAACGCAGCCGGTTCGCCTCTAAGGACGGATATAATGCCTTTTCAATCGACACTTCGATAACATAGTCACCACATGTAACTGTAACACCAGCCGGAGGTTCTGAAATCAGGACAAAACATTGCAAAGTTAGAAGCTAGATCTAAAATGTCGTTGTATGATGACAGGGCCGGATGGAATACTTTCTCATTACAGTACCATTGCCGATCACAGAAAGCGTCAAAAGAGAAATTATCAGTACAGCTACCAAGGCCCAGTGCATCATGTCGTTGGAGATGTCGAAAATGTTATTAGCCTTGGCTCGAATTCATTTCCTACAAACGTTGTGAGCTGCTGAGCCTCGTAACTTTTACCTGTCAGTCAAAACTGACAAACTGCGCACTAAAACCAATCACTGAACAGTTTCAGAAAATCCATTCACTTATTAGATTATTGAAAACAGTCTATTATTTCCATGCATGTAGCTAATTATTGTTCTTGCTTACTGTGGTGTGGCTTATGCTATGGCATCCCATCGGCACTGATGCGAAGTCTTTAGAAATGGTCTGCCGATTGATGCGAATTGCAATTTTTGTTCATTTCGTTGCGGAAGTACAGAATCCATTTCTGTCAGTATCAAGTGTTTCTTATCGCTCTTATNAACTGCGCACTAAAACCAATCACTGAACAGTTTCAGAAAATCCATTCACTTATTAGGTTATTGAAAACAGTCTATTATTTCCATGCACGTAGCTAATTATTGTTGTTGCTTACTATGGTGTGGCTTATGCTATGGCATCCCATCGGCACTGATGCGAAGTCTTTAGAAATGGCCTGCCGATTGATGCGAATTGCAATTTTTGTTCATTTCGTTGCGAAAGTACAGAATCCATTTCTGTCAGTATCAAGTGTTTCTTATCGCTCTTATACTGAATGTACGATAAAGTAATAAAAAATTGAACAAGGCACTGAACGTCACCCTTTGAATTGAACCTACTGGATCATCAAAGGACGTTCCGGTTATTCCATTTTAAGACACTATAAGGAGTTGTTTTTGTGAATATTTTATTAGGAAATGCTTTCAAATTCCTGTCGTGTTATTTCCGAGATACGCCCTATTAAAACAAAAAAACAAGGCAGACACTGAAGGTCACGCTTAACTACTTGATCATCAAAGGAAGTTTCCTGATATTCTATTTAAGACACTAAGGAGTTGTTCGAGTGCATATGTCCTTGTCATGTTATTATTACTTCACATTCTGAGCGTTCGTTATAGAGCGTGACAAGTTACGTTCTACAACGAACACTCAGAGGTGTACCCTCCAGGCTCCGCTGAGTGAGACAAGTGAACTGCATTCAATACTGACATTCCTGAATATTTATCAACTTTAATTGTCGACAGCTGTAGCCTTGGATCTTATACATTTATTTCACTCTGCTAGCTAAGAAAAGTTCGGACTAAAGTGCAATGAATGAGTTGCCAGTAATCGGATACCCGTGTTTGCGCAAAGAACTCTGGGATCTCAAGGGGGCAAACATTGCAAGTCGCTAGAAGGAATGTATGGCGCAAAGTTGTTTCGAGGTACAAGAAAACGA